ATTTTACTATGTCAGTAAATGCATGACGTTGTTGACATTATTGAACATTTACCTCAGTACTGGGGTCTGTTTCATATGAATGGCCATTCAGATGCTGATGCTAAATCTAATGAGTAAGTCAGTGTAAAACTGTAATAAAGGGAGAGTCGGTTTATACTAACACATGCGCTCCAACTGGAGAAAATGTCTTTGGCCATCTTGTGGTGGAATTTTATCCTCTTGTTTTACCAGTTGGATCTGATGTTGTCTTAAAATTGCCTATCTAATGATCATGTCTTCAGAAGTGCAATGCTATTTTACAATAGAATATTGGAGGTTGGGCCCATGCTGTTTGGATTTCATTTAATGTCCCTGTTTTTTTCATTTCTATGTTCTGGCCTTGAATATTGTTATGATTTCAAGTTTTGAGCATTCCGTAGACCATATCTTTCCTATTTCTTGTTAAGACTGAAATCAGGTGTTATTCTCCCAGTGAACAAGCAGAATCTATAAGGATTTGTGGAACTCGGTTCCATTATGCTTCATAGGTTCTGGAGCTATTCAACTTACAAATTAAAATTTCTAAACAGATAGCTGTTAGTTTAATGTACTTTTATATTGGGAAGTGGCTGATCCCTTTGGGATCAGTTGTCACATGCCAATCCTGTGAATTGTTTTAAGAGCACGGTTGAGGCTAAATTAAAAAGAGTAAGGTTAATCTAGTTTATTTTCTCCCATTCAGCACACATGTGATGCCATAATAATAAATTGTTGACTAATTATGACATTCAATCCCCATTGGTTAATTAATAATATGCATAAATGAGCAGAGGAACATCCCCGACATCCCAGTCCCCACCGCCGCCACCGTGGCAGCAAACTAAAGATCCAAACACATTTGTTCCTTCCAATGTCCAATTACTTTACTGTATCTCAAAACATTCTGTCCTGAAAAAACTCAATCCAAACTGTATTTGAATGCATCAACCAATCTGTTTCCATTATCTGTAAGGTTTTCAATCTACTTTGTACTGAATGCTGTTTATTCACCTTATTTATTCAGTGTTGTGGTGGGATTAGAGCTGGCCTATTTTTGAAGGCTAATCACAGAGCACGTTTTTTACACTTTTTGTGTAGTAGAAATCTGATGGCTGATCCACGGAAATTCAACATTGTGATTAATTCAAGGATATTATTTGTGGTTTTTATGGAAGTGTTAGCATTATTGTGAAACGCAATTGACAAGCAATGCTGCAAATCTTATAATACCCTGCGCTGTCTAATTCAGGCATTGTGTTCCAGTAGCTGTAATGTATAAAATGACAAAGTGTAATCCTTAAGACACTCGAAGATGTCTTATTATAAAAACGTGTAATTTTGTTCACTTGAAGGTGGATGTCTTGTTCAAATTTCCCCTCAGGGCCTGCTGGCAGTTAAATTTTGAATAGATCCAGCTTTCGTGTGTTAGACTAGCCAGAACAGGAATAATTAAATCGTGTGAATCTTATTTTTGTTCTCAGGGAACATTTAAATGCTGATGCATTGTGTATGCTTTGATTGGTCATTTAATTCTAGGAACAAGATGAACAATCATCTGGCCCCATTCAGCGCTGGATACTTCTGGGAGTTAAATGCCTGATAACAGTAGTTTCGTTGTTGAGTTACTTTACAGCTGGATGCTTTGCAAATTGCTGTGAATGCAATGGTTTATCAATGGACAGCAATGCACTTGTCAGAGGACCATTCTTAGTTGAACCCTTTCTTTGCTCTTCAGACACAATAATGACTACACTTGAATTTTCACCAAAGATTTTGAAGTTGGTTTAATTTTCTATTGGCAAATAAGTATTAGTGGGTTCCCCACAGGAACTGGGAAGTATTTTAATTAGAGATAATTCGAGAAAAAGTTTTCTGAAGAAAGGTCCCGACCCGAAACGTCAGCTTTCCTGCTCCTCTGATGCTGCTTGGCCTGCTGTGTTCCTCCAGCTCCACACTGTGTTATCTCTGACTCCAGCATCAGCAGTTCTTACTATCTCTGAATGTATTTTAATGACCTGTTTCTGTGTTCCATGTTTTCTTGCTGTCTGCTGTGATGAATTGATTCTCTCTTCCTTTCTGTTCTCTTCTATTACTTTGCTATTTAATCTTCCTTCCTGGCTCAGTTGGTCACTCTCATCTTTGTGAATATTTAAGACTCATTGCAGGGAACTGAGTACTCAAGCCAGACTGCCATTTCAGTGCAGTACTGAAAGAGGATGTTGACTTCTGGATATGACCATGTTCCTCTCTGCCCCCTCAGTTGGATGTGAAAACTACTGGTCTTATTTTAATGAAAAGTGGAGGAGATTTCCCTTGAGTACTTGCCAATATTTAACCCTCAGTCAACATCACAAAAATGATGTCCCTGGCCATTATTTCATGAATGCTCCAGGAACTTTAATGCATGCCAATTGATGGCCATGTTTCTCACATTGCAAGAGTTATCACACTTCAAAAAGTAATTAACTGACTGTAAAACACATTGGGACCATCCTCAGATCTTGAGTAGCACTATAAAAATGCAAATCTGTTCTTTTGATTTTTTTCCTTCAGGTTTTGTATCTTTCCTTCCATCTTTCACTTTTTCAAGCAACTGTTCAGTGATTTGTGGTAGAGAATTCCAAACTCTGATCACTCCAGTGAGACCGTTAAGACACATTGGTGTTAATTTTGACTTTTATGACTGCCTGTCTTCCTAATGTCTGTTGTCTCTGATAAGAATAAGATGAGCTCCAATGGCTCATACAATGGAACAGTTCCTCTTACTGACCATACTTGTAATTCACAGAGATATCATGATGAATGATGAATCATGTGATTTATAGCTCCCCCTCTAATTCTTGCCCTTTGTGCAGTTTGAAGTAGGAATTAGAACTGCACTCTTAGTCTTGCTTCAGTTTATTGGAGACTCCAATGTCTATCCCACTTTTTCTTTTTTAAAAAAAACTTTACTGTTGCATTTTTATTCGTTTATGACCAAATCTGTTACTTGTCCTGCAGGAAGCTCGGCAGAAGTTTCGAACTGTTTTAGTCGAAGCTACCGTTAAGCTTGATGAAGCTGGGAAGAAGGTAGGAAAAGCTGTGGATGATTCCAAGCCTTATTGGGAAGCCAGGCGAGTTACACGACTGGTAAGTAGATGAACTTTGTGTAATCTTTCCTATTCAAAAGGATATTTTTTGGATAGTACTAATTCACCATGTCTTGCTAATGGAATACTTAGAGTTATTATGACGCAGAGATAAGCCATTTGGCCCATTAGGTGTATACTGCACTGATTCTTTGTATAGCATTTCAGTAATCCAGTTAGTCCCATTTTCAATTGCCCTACCCCCAACTCCGTCTCCCAGACCTAGCTCATTTGACATAAAATCACATTTCAAAAACCTTTGAATCAACAGTTTGAAAAAGAACAGCAATTTCCCTTGTGTCCAGTCTGGTACTTATCCCTCAGCCAACATCTTGAACCTAATTATCTGATCATGATAATTTTTCTGTTTGCGAGACCTTGCTGTGCACAAACTGACACAATGTTTCCTACATTACAACCAGAGCTTCCTTTGAAAAGTTCTTAATCAGCCGTAAAGCACTTTGTGAATTTTGAGGTTGTGAAAAGAGCTATACAAGTGCAATTTCTTTCAAAATACAAATCTTTCAAATAGACGTTTTCTGTTTGAAATTCCGATCTCCTGCTGGATAAATTCATAACCAAGGTGAATGGTTTCTCACAGTCTTGAATATCTTAAAATTGCTATTTAACTCCTGATTTGGTTTGCTGATATGTCCAACGGCGCGAGTAGGAGTCTTGAGTTACTTTTGCAGTTACTTTTCACTTTTTAATTTGATCAGTAGGTTCCAGCACCCATTCCTCACCTAATCTCAAAATTCAGCGCCAAGGGTTGCTGTTGCGAATTTTCAGAGTTCCTGCAGAATTCTTTTCAAAAGCCATTGGTTCAGATGCTTAACAGTCAGTTGTATAGGGGCCCTACAAACTGCAAGTTTACATATTTTAATAATGCATTCACTCATTGCATTAATTGTAAATGCTTTGGGATATTCCACTTTCATTTAAAGGTGCTTTGTAAATGCGGATTTTTCTTTTATCTTGGTCATAATCCATGTTTGCAATGCCATGTGTGATCAGCTAGTATGTTGAGTTAATATATAAATGGGTTACTTGAAGATTCAGTTGAGCAATCCCACTCTAGGGCTGACATTTTAGCTGCAGTAATGAGGTGTACTGTACTTTCAGAGGTGCCATGTTTCATAAATGATTTTCTAGTGGGGACTTCATCCCTCTACTTGTGATTTTAAAAGATCCCAAGGCATTTGAGGAGGGGATTATCGCTAGTGTCTTGGTCAATGTTTATCCCTCAATGACATTGTGAAATCTATTGTATTGATATCTATATGTTGCTGTGTGCAAATTGGCTGTGACATTTTCCACATTACAACCGTGACTATATTTGTCGTACCTTTGGCCATTAAACACTTCATAATGTCTGATGGTCAAGAAAAGTGCTATGTATGTACAAGTCTTTTTACTTGAGTAATGAGTGAACTTTGCATCCCCTACACATTTTTAATCTATAAAGTTCTAGCAACTTAACTCACAAGTAAATGGAATTGGCTCAAAGAAACATTTTCTTCATATTAAATTGCTCTAACAAGAAAGGAATGTGCCTTCCATAAAATTGAGTGACTAATTGAAATGGGATTCAATGTGATAGATTTTTCACCTGGAATGTTTAATTAAAATAGTGACCTATTTTTCTCTTTTTTTGTTGCACTTTTTTTTTGATTTAAAGAATGAAGTATTTGAAATGAGGGTGCTGTGACCTGATTTAATGTCAGATTTTATGCCTCACTCTTGTAAGCTCTTTCATTTGGTATCCGACAGGGATACACGATGATAAAGTTTGTTTGTTATTCCAATTGTGTTGGAAATGAACAGTTTTATAAAGTCAGCATATCAGTTTAAAAAAAAACTTCATGATAATAGAGCAGAATTTGTTTTAGCGGGAATAGTTTTCTTGAACAAACTCTAATATCTGGGGGAATAAATGTCCGATTTAACAAGTGAACAAATGACACCTCAAACGATAACCAGCGATTGTTTCAGTGGCTGATTATGTGAAACCATAAACTCCCTTTTAAAGGGAACTAAATGTGACATTTTGGTTTCTAAATTAAGATCAAGTTATGTGTTTGTGCAGATTGTCCACTTCTGTCTTCATCCACTCAATCAGTGTCAAATAGAATAAGATTTTCTTGTCCAATTAGTGTGCCCAACTCAATTGTGATTCCTTGTGTTACAATATTTATCTACTTCATCCCGTCTGAAACATGTGATCTCCTGGCAGAGGTGCACAAACAGGTCAGAATTCCTCTAACCCGGCCAGTTTGGTGACATTCGTCTGGGAAATCCCTCTTCTACATCCCTCTCAACTGACATCTCTCTCCCTACCACCGCCCAAAACCTGGTGATCAAAACTTGACTATGAGACCATATTCGCTCTGAGTTTCTTGCATGTCTGCCATCTTTTAGATATGCTAGTTGCAAAGTACTCGATTGAAGGAAGTTAGCAGGTGAAAGACTGGGAATTTTGTGGCACCTGTGTCCTATCTCTCCAAAGTGCAACATCAAAAAGCACAAATCAAGAAGCTGATGGAATATTCTCCATTTGCCTGGATAGGTACACTTCCAATAACAATTGAAAAGCGTGACACCATCCAGGACAAAACAGGTCACTTGATTGGTTCCCATACCCATCACCTTCAAATGTTCACTTGCTCCACTGCTGACATACAGTGGCAGCTGCATGTACCATCTACGAGGTGCTCTGTGTGCCTCAATCAAGCTGTTTATACAGCATCGTCCAAACCCATGAGCTCAATGGAATGAATGGCCCACTCCTGTTCCTAAGTTCTTATGGGCTGTTAAATTGACCGAATACTGTTACCAGAATCAATTGTGGCTCAGTCAGTTGTTCTCTCGCCTCTGAGAAACAGTTTTGAGTGTTCAGATCTCACTCCCAGCAGGTGCAGCACTGATGGAGATGCTAACTTTTGAATGAGCCATTAAACGGGGAGCCTGTTTGCTCATGTGGGTGAATGGGATGGGGAAGTTGAGTCGAAGCAGATCAACCACGTTCGTATTGAATGGCTGAACAGGTTCAAGGAGCTGTGTGGTCTACTTCTCGGATTCCCTATGCAATCACTGATATCCTGTCTGAATCCCACCTTCTACAATTCAAGTCAATTTCTTTTGGGCGGCACAGTGGCACAGTGGTTAGCACTGCAGCCTCACAGTGCCAGGGACCCGGGTTCAATTCCAGCCTCGGGCAACTGTTTGTTGGAGTTGGCACATTCCCCCCGTGTCTGCGTGGGTTTCCTCCGGGTGCTCTGGTTTCTTCCCACAGTCCAAAGATGTGCAGGTTAGATGGATTGGCCATGCTAAATTGCCCCGTAGTGTTCAGGGAGGTGTAGATTAGGTGGGTTATAGGGGGATGGGTCTGGGTGGGATGCTCTGAGGTTCAGTGTGGACTTGTTGGACCGAAGGGCCTGTTTCCACACTGTAGGGATTCTGTGATTCTTAGGAGGTAACAGCACCAGAAGGAAAGTTGGGGCCTTGCTTACATGGGCTTCCTGCCACACTCTGCCTCCCTTGGTTGCTGAACCCTGCAGTCACTAGCTGCCTAACCAACTGCTTCTTGCTGCCTGTGCAGATGAGGCCCAGATGTTAAAAACTTACTTGCCTGGCCCTTGCATTGTAGAAGCCTCAGCAGAGATATACATTCAGCACTTGCCCCCCATCTCATTCATCTGCCAGTCTCCAGCCCTGTTCAAATTCCATTTTTTTGTTTTATTTTGACTTTTGAAACTTGGTCAGGGAGATAATTGGAGTTACTCTGTTCTCTATAATCACGTGAACTGATTAGTGACACAAAGGTGGGTGTACATTTAGTGGCAGTATTTATTTTTATTTATATTACATGTGCCAAGTCACTGCCGACTGACACAGTCTGCATTGCAGCTGGGCATGAACCAAATCCTCTGGTTGGAATTGATTCAAGAGCTAATGGGCTCAGACTAGTAACTGCAGTATACGTTTAGACAGATGAATGTGAAATTGATATGTTTGCGGCCTTGCATTGATTTGGGTAGGTTTATGAGTGGCTGGGTGTGTTGAGAGGGCTTTGAATGAGATTTATTCCCAACAGAAACTTGGTGGCCTGAATGAAAGCATTCCTCTTCCTCTTAGCCCACAAGCTGTGTCATAAAAATATTTCACCTCCCAGGAAGCTGTCCTTGTCTCTCTTTAGCAGTGAGGAGACCAGGGATTAACCTGGGAGACTGCTTGTTGCTTCAATAGCGCACTTAAGTGATCATCCTACCTCCCTTGTGTGACTTGGTTGCCTGCTCTCATCCAATCTCCATTAAAAGTAGAGCGGGTGGATTGGATTTCAGACTTTTTAAAGCGTTAACACTCCAGCCACTCCAAACCATCTTTTATTTCGTGGTTAACATTTCGCCAGCATGATTATCCTGCACTTTTCTAAATTTGCAACAAGTATTGTAGCAGAATCTGTGAACCAAGGAATGTTGAGGGTCTCAGCGCTCAGTTGTGTTGGTCCGAGGATCTGTGGAAGAGAATTCCTGTTTAGGATGATCTTCATTCAGGATGGGCATCTGGTCTGAGAAATAGAACAGGGAGAGGATGAAAAATAAAATTAACTAAGTTGAAGCCCAGTAAATAGAATAAATGGGTTACTGTGGCAATTATGAAATGCTTTAAAATTGCCCATTGTATTTCAACAAAGAAAATAATCCAAAATAAAGCAATTCTCCCTAAATGAGGAGCTAACTCCCTTCGCTAGTTCTGTAAGTTTTCTCCTTGGATCCTGCACCCTACTACAGTAACAATTTATTTTATGCTGTGCATCAGTTGTGTTTGCTGGCTGGCTTCTAAGATCTGTAGGATTGGTTAGAGTGTTTAATATAGCATACAGTTTCTACAGTTCCTATTAAGTAGAACCAGTTTCTCTCTCTCTGCTCTTTCAAAACCCCTCTTACTTTTCAGAACTTTTTATTAAATTTGCATGTTTGTACAACATGAATCTAATGTTGCTGGGGCATTTGAATTAAATGTAGTGCATCTGGTGGCTTTAAGCTGAAAACCCAGGTTCTAGATAGGAAGTGGTTGCTAGGTTACTGGCCTATTTTAGAATAAGCCACTTCTGTCTTTGTCTTCATTTTTGCGTGTTTCTGAAGGCCTTCACTTCTTGTTCTATTCGAGAAGAATCTGATGAAATTCCTTCTGAATTTCAGGTGTTTTTTTTAAAAATAGGCCTGGCCTTTTATGTGTGGGATTCCCCTTGTGTGTGTGTGCGTGTGTGTGCGGTTATCACGTTTTTTTTGGTTGCTAATTAAACCTCTTTCTTGTTTGCCTCTCTTAATTTGTTAGGTTATTTTACAAGGGTATTTTTACTGGGAATACTTTGAAAAACTCAGTTTTGGGAATCAGTGTGGGTTTGCTCATGTTGAAGATGTATGCCAGAATAGAGCAGTTGATCTGTATGGCTGTTTCTTGTCGTACCTTCCATTCTGCATTAATCCTTACACTCATATAATTGCTTCACCCAACTCATTACTTTCTGAAGTGCAGAAAATGTTACATGGTGAAATGAGAACAGATACAAGCAACCGTGTTGTAGTCTGTTTGCGTTTCCTACTGAGCTGCATTAGAATATTATATTACTGCTTGCAGCTCTTATTTGCCAAGCCATTTTAAAAGTGTTTTGGTTCCTTTTGCAGGATTCAATATTCCCACAGTCAACGGAGCCTGCTTAATAGTGCAGGCTACTTGCTAGTCCATTCAGAGGGTTGCATTATGTGACCTGGAGCTGCTTGTTATAATGAGCTGAGTTTTATCAGTAAAGCCATTCATTAAAATCTGTAATGTCTGTGCTGATTTGTGGGGACCAGGGAACAGTCGCTTTAGGCTTCTGGTCATTTGCTATGTCAGTTTATTTGATATACAGAGAGAGCTCAAGTTGTATCCAAATATGCTTAACCCAAGAAGAAATGGAAGCATAGGTCAGAGAACATTATTTTACTGTACTGTACTGTAGGGTCTGCTAGATGATTGATTTCATTTGATTCATTTTTCATTGTTTCAGGGGAGGCAATTGCCTAGTGGTATTATTGCTGGACTGTTAATCCAGAGACCCAGTTGACATTCTGGGGACCTGAGTTCGAATCCTGCCATGGCAGGTGGTGGAATTTGAATTCAATAAATATCTGGAATCAAGAATCTAATGATGACTGTGAATCCATTGTTGATTGTCGGAAAAGCCCATCTGGTTGACTAATGTCCTTTAGGAAAAGAAACTGCCATCCTTACCTGGTGTGGCCTACAGGTGACTCCAGACCCACAGCCACGTGGTTGAATCTTAACTGCCCTCTGGGCAATTAGGGATGGGCAATAAATGCTGCGTAGCCAGCGACACCCTCATCCTGTGAATGAATAAAGAAAAATGTACAGAGATACAGTGAAAAGTGTTGTTTTGCAAGCTATACAGGCAGATCATGCCGTACAAAGTGCATTAGGGTAGCAGAACAGAATGCAGAACACAGTGTTCCAGCCGCAGAGAACGTGCAGAGAGAGAGATTGGAATTAACATTTGAGAGGTCCGTTCAAAAGTCTGATAACCGTGGGGAAGAACTTGAATCTATTTGTACATATATTCAAACTTTTATATCTTCTGCCTGATGAAAATGGGTGGAAGAGAATATAACCGAGGTGCAAGGGGTCTTTGATTATGTTGGTTGCTTTCCCAAGGCAGTGGGAAGTATAGATGGAGTCAATGGATGGAAGGTTGGTTTGCATGGTGGACTGGGGTGTGTTCACGACTCTCTGTAGTTTCTTGTGGTCTTGGGAAGAGCAGTTGCCAAACCATGCTGTGGTGCATCCAGATTGGATACTTTCTGTGGTGCACCTATAAAAATTGGTAAGAGCCCTTGTGGACATGCCAAATTTCTTTAGCTGCCTGACGAAGTAGAGTCATTGTTGTGCTTTCTTGACCACTGCATTGATATGGAGGGGGGTGGACTAGGACAGATAGGTCTGTGTTGTACAAAATGAGTGTCAGGAAATCCTGGTCTTTCATATTGTCCTGTATCATAAAAATAAGTCATCCTCCAGGAATGATTTCATAGAGGTTTTGCTTGCTACAGTTATTGACGCTTTGAACCAACATTATTTTGAAATACCGGGAGGTGGGACTGGGAGTGTGAATGGCTACAATTATGCAAACAGTAGGTTCTACAGTTGATCAGGAATCGATTATAAGCTGCTGCAGGATAACACCCCACACTTGCCAGAGTTGGATTCAACTGTAGCAAACCCAGGACTGGAAAGGAGGAATGGGAGGGCTGCAACTCCCCACACCCAAAAAAAAAGAAAAAAGCTTGGAATTCAAACTGGCATGAATTTTTTTTTTTCTATTCATTTGTGGGATGTGGGCGTCGCTGGTTGGCCAGCATTACTTGCCTGTCACTAGTTGCCCTTGAGAAGGTGGTGGTGAACTGCCTTCTTGAACCGCTGCAGTCCACCTGCTGTAGGTTGACCCACAATGCCATTAGGGAGGGAATTCCAGGATTTTGACCCAGCGACAGTGAAGGAATGGAGATATATTTCCAAGTCAGGATGGTGAGTGGCTTGGAGGAGATCTTGGAGATGGTGGTGTTCCCATATATCTGCTGCCCTTGTCCTTCTAGATGGAAGTGGTCGTGGGTTTGGGAGGTGCTGTTTGAGGATCTGTGGTGAATTTCTGCAGTGCATCTTATAGATAGTACACACTACAAGTATATATAAGAGTATAAGTGGCTGAGAGAGTCAGCAGCAAGTATGTGATCCCTCTGGCTTGGAGGCAGTAAACGAAAAAGCTTAAAGATTTCAGGAAAGGTGGGTGACAGCAGAATTTCAGGTGCCAAGTCTCACACTTTGTGTTTCTCAGTGTCCTCCTGTACTGCACTTTGCAGAACAGTTTAACCTGCTGGTACTGATCCTCTTGCATCTCTGGGGGACATGCATCTGAACAAAGATTCCCCTTTATTTTGTTTCCTGTCAGGCACAGCTGGAGGCCCAGAAGGCGACCCAAGATTTTCAAAGAGCTACTGAGGTGTTGCGAGCAGCCAAAGAGACTATTGCTCTGGCTGAACAGAGGCTACTAGAAGATGAGGAACGTCAGTTTGATTCAGCATGGCAAGAGATGCTTAATCACGCAACACAGCGGGTAAGTCAAATTCTAATCCATATGTCTGAGTCTACAGGTGACAAATCCTATATCACTGTTCCTGAAGCCAATCTGCAGGAGAGTTTTTGGAGATCCTGGATTCTGATGAATGTACTTATTCATTAAAATGCTCAGAAATAAAAATGATCCTGCTTGGAATGTTTGTTCAGCTTTGCTCCCCACCCTCTCCAATCTCACTTCCTGCCATTCGTTAATATTTGAGTCTCACGTTATTCTAGGCCTTCATATTGAACCTTGGAGTACCTCTCCATAAGTTGTTAAAAGTAGCAAGACCAGTAGATCAGATGGTCAAGGAGGGATATGGAATATTTGTTAGCTCGGTCAAAGAGGATACAAATGGGAGAGCTATAGGAAAGACATTGTTAAACTTGAAAGGGTTCAGAAAAGATTTACAAGGCTGTTGCTGGGATTGGAGGGTTTGACCTGTAGGGAGAGGCTGAATAGGCTGGGGCTATTATCCCTGGAGCATTGAAGGCCGAGGGTTGACTTTGTAGAGGTCTATAAAATTATGAGGGTCGTGGATAGGATGAATCGCCAAGATCTTTTTCCCAGGCTGGTTGGGGGGGTCCAAAATTAGAGGGCATAAGTTTAAGGTGAGTGGGGATAGATTTAGAAGCGAGGGGCAACATTTTCACTCAGAGGAAGGTGCATGTATGGAACGAGTTGTCAGAGGAGCTGGTGGAGGTGGGTACAGTTACGGTATTTAAAAGGCATCTGGATGGCTGCATAAATAGAATGGGTTTGGAGGGATATGGGCCATATGCTGGCAAATGGGAATAGATCAGCTTAGGATATCTGGCCGGCATGGACAAGTTGGACTGAAGGGTCTGTTTCTGTGCTGTACAACTCTATGATTCTAATACTGTATAGGACAGTAATCAGACAACATCTTAAAAAAATTGCACAGTTTTAACCACTGCATTGCAGAAGGGATGTGGTTGCATTAGAGAAGATACAGAAGGGATTTATGAGGATGTTAGCACGAATAGAGAATGATAGAAAAGATTGGATCGGTGGAATGTTTTCTTTGGAAAACCGGAGGCAGAGGGGAGATTTAATTGAAGCATATAAAATCGACAAAGGGCCTAGATAGAGTCGATTGAAAGGATTACTACCATGATTAGAGAGGTTAATAACTAAGGGGCATTGCTTTAAAGTAAGGGATTGATGGAGTGGAGTTGAGGAGTAGTTAGTTCGTTTAGAGGATTTGAGGGTTTGGAGCTCATTGCCTGTAAGAGTGATTAAGACAGAATTCTTCCTCCTACAACAACTCACTTCAATATGCATTTCAGGTGCTCTAGCTTGCAGGCTAAAGCTGAATATCTCTGAGCTGTGATGAACTAGATGGGCCAAGTGACCTTTTACAATGGTTTAGATACTTCCAAGAAGTGCACTTTGAAGATTCTGTAAGCTGCTTGTCACTGTCATTGGCTTTGTGAAATATAACAATTCTTTCCTGGGTTTAATCCAGAATTTCTACTCCTCAGTCTAAGATCAACCTCTGTTGAAACACCCAAAGGTTAGTGGTTCAGATGATAGGATGACAGTCAGACCACCCAATCCAAATCCAGGATTGCTGCTCAAGTTCAATTCTCATGGAATCTTAACAGTAGAGAGGGAGACTATCGCAGCCTCCCATGCTCTATAGCTTCTCTCCTGAAGGACTATCAGATTTGCTCCCCTGCTCTTTCACCAGTTCTGCAAACCTTTCCTTTTCAAGTACACATCCAATTCCCCTTTGAAAGTTGCTATTTAATATGCTTCCAGCATCCATCAGGGAGAATGCACTCTAAAACAATTTAAAAAACAAAAAATGTGCTCTTCTGATTGCTTTGCTTTGCTAATGATCTCATGTCATTCTCCTCTGACTAACGACTCTTCTGTCACTGGAAGTTATTCCTCTTGAATTTTCTCCATCAAAGCCCTTAATACATGAGCGCACCTCTGTTAAATTTCCTCATAACCTTCACTGAGCTAAGGAGAACAAGCTCCTGTTCTGTCGGGGTTCCTTTCTGTCCCTTGCTGCTGTACTTCCTCATTCGGTACCACAGGTTGAACTGAAAAGCCTTCATTGACTGCAGCTGTTGATCGGAAGTTACATTTTTTTTTCCTTCCTGTGGGATTTCCATTTGGCAAATCTGTTACTGTCGCCTGCACAAATTTCCTCAGCAAACTGAGGCAAAGAGCTGGGGTTCTGCCTGTGTGGCATCTGTCCTGATGTAATTTTGTCCCTTTTGGAATAACATAGTAATGTTCTCTTGGTAGTGTGGTGAGTTGTTCCTGACTATAAACAGGATATGTCCCCAATTTGTAGTTATTCCAACTGCAGTTAACATGGGGAGGATTTACACCCCTTTAGTGTTGGTCCCTTCCACATTAAAGTTGTCACTTGTGGACATTTGACTTCTTGTGCCAAGTGATAAACTATTGAAGCTCTGAGCATTAGCGTTAAAAGTAGATTCAGTGTTGTGACTGTATTTTAAATAGTTCAATACCGTTTCCTGCCAATGTAGAACAGAAAACCAGAAACCAGTTGCACATCTTGAATGACACACTTTTAGTTCTGTCTCATCATTATTTACTGATGAATTCTGATTCAAAGTAATATTGTTTTCAATGAAGTTTTTTTTAAATGGCAGATGACATATTGGAGAATGGTGGATTAGTTTGTTTCTTTAGAAATTTAGTCACAAATTCAATTGGGAAAGTATTGTACTTGTGACCAGGTGCAATCCCAAGCAATGTCTCGTATTGATGAAGCTGCCTTGGGTCAAATTCCTTATCTGATCTTCTAATATTGACTGGTAAAAGTATTTGCGGATCGGTATGACATGAAAATGTAAACCAGTTAAAAGAAATAATGACTCTTGATGCCTGTATTTGTTTTCAAAATCCAGTTTAAGAGCTGAATTTTAATGGTCAAGGGAAAATGTGGTTGTGGGAGGCTTGTTAAAACCTCAAAATAGCATTGCGTTGGGAATCTGACTTTTTAAAAAAAATCTACTTCCTAGATTTAACCAGGGTAGGTTTGCATGAGTGCTGGGAAGCCATATGGAGTTGGAAATACTTGTGTGAAAATATCTTAAGAAGCAACAGGATTTCCCACACTGTGAGGAACTTGCCAGAATGTATGAGACAGAGTGCAGAATGGGCATCTTTCTTGAGTGAAATTGACAAACTGGGAAGCCTTCAAATGGTGAAACTGATGAGCTGCAGCCATGGCCAGGCAAGAGGCTAGCTTTTGCAGTATTTCTGCTAAAACTATGTTTTCATGACTTGTGAGGTGGTTTTCAGCTTCTTCGAAGTCACTTCACCAGTCCTGAACTTCAATGACCTTGAGTTGCATTTCCCTGCTGTCAGCCTTCACCATAGCATGGGGACCTGCTCTACCTGGCGCCTGAGAGCAAGAGAAACAGCTGGGAGCAATACCAAGAGCAGCAGCTGCTTTCTCATTCCCATACTGCTTCTCAGCACGGAGGGATGCTCCAATGAAGCAGAACCCCAAACAGAGGAAGAGTTTCCTGATACCCTACCACCCTCCCAGTGGTTAAGGTGGATATGGGCACATACTGCCAGTGACCTTCAAGTTGGCTATTGCTGGAGTTCCCTGCCCTTGGTTCTCTGCCCCTTCCCACAATCCTGTGCTCTCTGCAAGCAACCAAAATAGAGTTGTGGGTTTGAGGACAGAAGAGCAGCAATAATGAAGAGTGACTAAAGCACACAACATGAACTAAGATGGCGGTGGGGACGGGGAAAGTCGGGTGTTCAGTTTTGGGTCTGAAGTGCCCGGAGAGGGAGAAGATTGAGTGGAGCTGCAGTGTGTGTTATTCTGAGGATAATGATACAGGAAGATGCAGAGAAGGTTAGACTTTGAGACCTGAACATATTATATCACTTGCTTTTCTCCACCTCTCTGGAATATTTGATCACCTTGAGAGGCATTATATCTGAGGCGAGTTTGCCAGACTTCCCCTGCCCTCTGCATTCCTTTTGAAGTATCAGGAACCTGATGTACAGTTCAGCAGCCTGATCCCTTCCAGGGTTCCTGTAACTCCATCCTTGCTTTGACAGATTTGGCCACCTGTCCAACTTCTCTGCCTGGGAAACCTGAAACAGGATGCTAATGCTGTAGCTGAGTTGAAGAATCACGGCAAAGCCCACTACTGAATCAAAGGGATTCCTGATTCACCACCGGTCTCCCTGCTGCTTAGAATAATTCCATCATAAATATTCAAAAGTTACATGGGTAAGGTGGCAGAAGTGTGGTGAACGGTTGGACACTGAAAGCTTTGCAGTTTCTGCAGTTATAGCTTAACAATTTGAAACAAACCACGAATAGTATACTGAGGTCAGGTGGACCTCCCAGTGCTGAAACTTGTGGTCTGAGCTTTTTAGTGATTTTTGTTTAAAAGGTCCTCACCATGTGCCTGGCATCTTGACTAGAGCTCATGCCTCTGATTCTTCCCCTGACCCAGGTCATGGAAGCAGAACAAACCAAGACGAGGAGTGAGCTGTTACACAGAGACACGGCTGTGAAATACAATGCAGCAATGAGCAGGATGAAACAATTGGAGAAGAAGCTGAAACGAGCCATTAATAAATCCAAGTGAGTGATTTTTTTTTCCCCCCACCCAAACTGTGTGCCCCGCACTCTGCTCCCCATCCTTCATGCTGTCCCTCATACCCATTTTGGGATGGTCTAAGGTTGGGAAAGGTGCTGTATCAGTGGAAGTTATTTCCCTGGCTGTGATGAGAAGGAAAAGGTCTTTGGTTTTGTTTGTAATCTAACACCTTATTTTCCTGAAAGCTAGGTGGTGAAGGATCAAACTAAAGCCAATTTTTACTCAGTTTAGATTTTTTCACAGCGTGAAACATTACAAGAATATTCTCTCTAACTAAAGCACACTACGCTGTCACTTAGTATCTCTTTTATATCTGTTTAAGTAACAACCCAATCAATGCTCTCGACCCATGTATAGTGTTAAGACCTGGATAGGTTCATTATCGTTTAAAAAGAAACCCAAATGACTCATTTTAATCAAAAAACAAATCACAGATGTCACTTTTTAATAAAACAATTCCTGCTTTGTATAATAATTAGACAATCAATTTTAACTCAGTAATCTGGTTTCTAACTGTCTACGTTATGCATTTAACTTTACATCCCCTTTTCCCAAAGATTTCCCTTGTGTCAATCTTCAAGTTATTTATTTTTGTAGGGAGCATCTATAAGTCTGCCTCAGTCCGCTAGAGAATTTTTCTTGGCTTTAACTACTCTGAGGTAAAGTTTCAATTTGCCATCGAGGAGCTCTTGGTCCCTAGATCTGATTACTTCACTGACACTTCTCCAAGTCCTTTGCTGGTTACATTTTTGTTTTGGAATATGATACTCTGAGACCTATTGTTCTTCCAGTAGCTTCAGATCCAGTAAACTTTCAGCTTCTGTTCCTCGCATGATTCAAAATGAGACTGAGCCAGGCAGGTTGACTCATTGGTCAACACGTTGCTCTGAGAGAGAGAATATAGAATGGCGATCATCTAGTTTGCTGTGTCGAAACAGGAGCATTGTGTGTACATGCTCCTTCTGCCTGAAAACAGCAAGCTCTGTATGAAGACATATAGCTTTCAGCACACACAAGCCTTTCTAACAATTCTGAATTTTCTGCTTTGTTGTTTAATTTTGCTTTGTATTAGTATTCCTGCAAATTGTTCTGATGGGTGCAAGTCAAAAAGATTTGACAAAATGCATCCTTTTTCAGTAATTCCCAAGCTTTGTATTACCAAAAGACTATGAACTGAAAATATGTACAGCAATTAGAACAAAGAACGTAGAACAGTATAACACAGGAACAGGTCCCTCGGCCCATGCTGTTGTGCCAAATAGAACGCTGAATTAAACTAATTCCTCTGCCTGCCCCTGGTCCATATCCCTCCATTTCTTGCATATTCATGTGCTTATCTAAATGTTCCTTAAACACCCCTATCGTATCTGCCTCCACCACCACCTGTGGCAGCAAGTCCTAGATAACTAACACTCACTCTCTGTGTAAAAACCTCACCCCTCACATCTCCTTTGAACTTTCCCCCTCTTGCCTTAAATGCATATCCTGTAATCGACTTTTCAACTCTGGGAAAAGAATTCTGACTGTCAGCCCTATCTATGCATCTCATAATGTTATAGACTTCTATCGAGGTGATGGCCTAGTGGTATTATCGCTAGACTTTTAATCCAGAGATCCACATAATGTTCTGGGGACCTGGGTTTGAATCCCGCCGCGGCAGATGGAATTTGAATTCAATAAGTACCTGGAATTAAGAGTCTAACAATGACCGTGAATCCATTGTTGATTGTCGGGTTCACTAATGTCCCTTAGGGAAGGAAACTGCCATCCTTATCTGGTCTGGCCTACATGTGACTCCAGACCCACAGCAATGTGGTTGACTCTTAACTGCCCTCTGGGCAATTAGAGATGGGCAATAAATGCTGCCTAGCCAGCGATGCCCTCATCCCGTGAATGAATTTAAAAAAAAGTCTCTCATCAGCCTCTGCCACTTCAGAGAAAACAATCCGAGTTTTTCTAGTCTCTGCTTATTGCTTATACCCTCCAATCCAGGCAGCATCTAGTAAACCTGTTCTGCACCCTCTCCAAACCCTCCACATATTCTTCCTGCAATGTAGCAACCAGAGTTGAACGCATCATTCTAGGTGTGGCTTAACCAAAGTCTTATAAACCTGCAACGTTGCATCCTGATTGTGATATATTAATCACAATTAATACAAAGTTATGATGTAAACTCCTTTATAATCTGTGTATTTTCTGTCTTATGTAGACCATATTTTGAACTCAAAGGAAAGTACTACCTGCAGCTGGAGGTAAGCATTTTCTTCAAACTCTGTAGTGTAGGTGGGATCGATTGTTTGTAGTACAAGGAATATGGAAGATTTTAAGTATGGATTGTTGAGCAAACATCAGCCTTACTAAAGTGACACAGCTACAAATTTTAATCAAGTGCCTTGCACGTGCCAATAGAGGTAAATTTGTTTCTGATGTAAATTTACTTAGCAAACATGTAACTGCATTCCGTAACCAAGGAAATAGTGATAATGATCAAAAACTAGCTCACATACTTTGATTTTCATCTTGTAGTTTAACCAATAAATGCACCAAAAGGGCAAAGGTCACATGAATAGACTATACAAGTATGAATGTGGAGTTCACATGCCTAAAGCCATTTTTACTCATCAGAAATGCAGTTTGTATTGTCAACAAGCTTAAGGTGACCAGTGGCTATGATATTGGATAACGCTAGTCCAGCCCAAAGCTAATGAAAACGCAATCATTTATTAAACCAATCATTGGTTTATGGAGTTATTTATCCCCTCCAGTTTCTCTGCATATGAGCTGAGTAGTGATAAGGAAGTGAGAGCTTAGGTGCTCAAGTGAGTACTGACCCTGTGCTGATCTTTCACACTCTGTTCAGACCACTGTAATCCGGTGTATTTGGCTTCAAGAGGTAGGGAGAATCACTCAGCATTTTATATTTTGTTGATTCACTATGATCTCTGCAGTTCTCATTGATTCTGATTAGTAGCTCACTCTGTCTCCTGGAAGTCAATAATAGATGAAGATGCAGCTTCACTGATGCTTCCATCCAAAGGCAACTATGAGAATTGGATCTCGGCAAGCTGCAATACAGCAGCATGGAAAAGGAAAGAATCGATGGAAAGGCAAAAATAAGGGGTAGCACGGTGGCTCACTGCTGCCTTATAGCACTAGGGTCCTGGGTTCGATTCCACCGTTGGACAACTATCTCCGTGGAATTTGCACATCCTCCCTATGTCTGTGTGGGTTTCCTTCCACAGTCCAAAGATGTGCAGGTTAGGTGGATTGGCCATTTTAAATTGCTGCAGGTGTCCAGGGATGTGCAGACTAGGTGGATTAGTCATGGGAAATGCAGGGTTACAGCGACTGGGTAGGGGTGTGGGTCTGGGTAGGATGCTCTTTGGAGGGTCATTGTGAACTCGATGGGCCAAATAGCCTGCCTCCACACTGCAGGGATTCTGAGTTTCCCAATTTGAATGCATTAACCTCATCTGTGCCCATGCGGAACCCGTTGGTGATTTTTAACACTGACTTGACGTTGATATTTTGAAATAGACTGTCCTTAATCCTGCATTATTGTTCCTCATTAAACAACAGCTCACCTATCCATGATAAATTGATTGCTTTAATTACAATTTATATTTCACCACAGAGTGTGTGAAAATTGGGAATGCTTTTTGTTAAAACAAAAGGCCTGCAAGTGCTGGAACTCCATTTGACCTCTGAGGCCTGAGATAGAAGGATTTTTCTTTGCTGAGAGTATCAAGGGATATGGAGCAAAAGCAGGAAAGTGAAGCTGAGGTACAGATCAGCCATGCTGTGGTAAAATAGCATATATGTTCGAGAAGCTCCCTTCCTCCATTAAATTATTGTATCTGCAGAGAATATTGACTTGTCTGATATCTGGGATGGGATGGGATTAGTTATTTTCTGAGGAGAAATTGTATAAACTGAGCCTGTGTACCGTGGAGTCTGGAAGAGGTGCATCGTATTGAGATGTATTAGATCCTGTGAGCTTGACAGTGTGGATGCTGAAGGAATGTTTCTCCTTGTTGAAGAGCCTTGAACTAAGGGACAGTGCTTAAAAATAGAGTTTTCTATTTAAGATGGAGATGCAATGAATTGATTTCTCGGAGCGTCCTAAATCATTGCAACTCCTCTTTCCCCCTAATTGCCAGAGGCATTGAGTGTTTTTAAGGCCGAGGTAGGTAGATGCTTGACCTGGGAATGAGTCAAAGGTTAGCGGGTAGATAGGAACGTCCACAATCTGATCAATTGATGTTTTATTGAATGGTGGAGCAGGCTTGAGGAACAGAATGGCCCACTCCTCCTCCTGATTCATATGTACATACAGAACTGTCAAATGTTAGCATTCCTTCCTGAGCGCACAGTGATGTGAATGTGGACGTCACTGCCACATGGAGTGACTGAAGCAGATGATGTTGATATATTTGATACATACTTGAGGGAGCAAAGAATTGAGGGATACAGTGTCAGTGGGAAGAGACAATTAGAGTAGGAGAAGGTTCATGAGGAGAATGAACAGATCAGTTTGGTTGACTGTACTGTACATTAAATGTAATTTAATCATCTTAATTCAGTCTTTGGAATACATTTTCCTTTTGGCTCCAAAACATGGTCTAAGGGAATGGGAATTACTGACAGAAATTGAGCTTATCTCTGTTACTATTGGATGACAGGATCTGATACTCGCACAAGATTTACCTAACGCTTTGTCAGATTGTATGCAGTTTGTTAAATGCCAATCACATTTTCCATTCTCTGCCTTTGATTTGACAGCAACTGAAGAAAAATGTGGATGAGCTTCAAGCCAAACTGTCAGCAGCCAAAGGCCAGTACAAAGCTGCTCTGAAGAACCTAGAGATGATCTCTGATGAGATTCATGAAAGAAGACGCTCCAATATGATGGGACCCAGGGGAAGAGGAGTTGGTGCTGAAGGGAATGAAAACTCTTTAGAAGATCTGTCCAGTTTAAAGACCGAGCCTGATGAATTGTCCAGTGAGTATTCCTTGTGTTTTTATCATTGCATTGATAGTTATTTGGAGGCATTTTATTTGTGACTTGTAACATTTACTCTGTATCTCTTCCCTCATGCAAGCACAGCATTACACATTACCAAATGTGAATTTCTAACTCATCTCTTTTATTTTGGTTTCTCTTGACCATTATCCTTTTGCCAGTTATACTAGTTAACAACAGACTAAGAGCTGCAGCTTCATTCCTCCTTTTGACTTATTAGTTAAAATGCATATTGTATATGGATAATAGCATAAGGTAGCGGTGGAGGTTAGATAGACCTTGGGTTTAGGGTAAAAGTTCAGCACAACATCGTGGGCCGAAGGGCCTGTACTGTGCTGTACTGTTCTATGTTCATACATTCTCCCCCCACCCCCGACTATTGAATCGGTACAGATTACAGCATCTGTAGTAATTTGCTCCTAAAATACATACAATGTTTACTCAACTTAATTTGCCGTGTCCTTTCCTCTAAAGATTAAAGAGTAGATTGTGTGCATTTTGTGGTTTTTTTAAAGGCAGTCAGCACTTTCCCAATTCTCTGCCACATTTAGTCAATTTGGTTAATTATAGAACTACAGAGATTTTCCTGTTAGAAGAGGTTGCAGAAAACCACAACTGCTACCAACATACAAAATTGACCTGCAGGCATAAAAGTATTCCTGAGCTCCTTATGATTCTCCTTGATGATGAGCATCAGTAATCCCATCATTCTTGTGTAACAGTGCTGCGCCAGTTCAAGAACCCATTCAGTTGAGGTGACAGGTGTAAAGGGAACTTTTGATTTGAAGGTAAGACATTCTGAAGTGTTGTTCATAGATCAGCACGAGCACTTTATCTGCTTTATTGAAACCCTACTCCAGAAATAAGCAGATAATCTAGGCTGACACCTTCAATGCAGTTCTGAGGGGGTGTCAGGCTGTCTCTTGAATGGAATGGTTAACTGAGGCTCCTTCTCCATAGGATAAACGTAAAAGATCTTGTGATGTGCTCTGAAGTGTCCTGACTACATTTATCCCTCATCTGACATCTCTGAATCAGATTAGCTGGTTATTTAACTTATTGACAACTGTAGCATCTTGCTGTACATAAATTGACTGCCAACATTTCCCAGTAGCTACAGTGAATCCCGAAAGGTCAGCTTTCCTGCTCCTCTGATGCTGCTTGGCCTGCTGTGTTCATCCAGCTCCACACCTTGTTATCTCATCATTGTAAAGTACTTGTCTAGCTTTGAAGCATTTTGAGATGTCTGAAGATTGTGAAAGTTGCTATAGAAATAGGAATCTTCTATACTCCTGAGAAGAAAAAAGATAGCACCTCTGACACAGCATTGGTTTCTAAAATTAGCATTCTACACTTTAAACACTTGATGTTGAACTTTTCAGTAAAGTTTCTCAAAGTTGATTTTAATTGTTTGCTTGACGATTGTAGTGGTTCAGTTTTAACTTTAATGTGAAAATGGGCAACTCCAAAGTATTCTGATATTCGGAGATCTTTTATATATCGGTATATGCAGAGGGAGCATTGGATTTTTCAAAAAAAAAGATGAAGCCAATGTAGCAAACACCCACTAATTATTACCACTTTTTAAGGGGCTGCCCAACAGATTCCATTAAAGGCCACCTCAACTCCAATCTGCATTGAAAAGAGTTTTTTTCAGCACTTGTTTAATCACACACACACTCAAACACACACACACACACACACACATATACACACACACATATACACACACACACACACACACACACACACACACACACACACACACAC